ATTGCGTGGTATTGCGCCACTCGTACATATTATCACTTTAGGAGATGAGATTGTAGTGCGTTGTCAGTCTTTTCCGTTGTATATAGTCTGCTTTGTCATTATAATTGACTCGTGTCTGGAAAATGAGCGATGCTGAAGTGACCCGAAGAGTGCTCTTGGAATAAATGATATTTATCTGACCGTCTATGGCTGTCTATGGCAATATTGCTGGCTAAGCAAACATGAGAATGGTAGCTCATCCGTACATTCGGACTTAACCGCCATGAATCTAGCTATGGTACAAGTTCCTATACGGTTCCTCAGGTGCTATTGTCTCCTAGACTAAGAATGATGTATCTCGTTGGTTATGCAAAGCTTTCAAGTATCAAAGCTCAACAAATTCCAAGCAAGCTTGCAATGCTAAAAAGGGCTATAGGTCTGTCTGGCTCAGAATCATGCTTCTAGGAACGAGTCATCCTCTTTCTCGTATATCCTTACGATGTCTCGGGTTTCTTCGTGAAGGAGTTCGCCAATCTCAATGCTCTCTCCTAAGACTTCTCGAGCTCTCTCCTCGGAAACAGACATATCCTCCATGATTAGTCGTACGGTCAACTCGGGAACGAGTACGGTCTGGACGTATCCGGTATAAGACCTCGCGGAGATGAGCTTATCCTCTATTGCTCTTTTGCGAATCACGTAGGACAGTGCGTTCATGATGAACCCTGTCATGACTTGTAGCCCTCTAGGTCCGTAATAGCCTGGCGTGAGATTGTCTTGGCTCTTGAGTAGTGTTCGATTCTTTCCGGAATCTACTTTTTCCTTGAAGATTTGGCGGTAATGTGACGCTTGAGACCCCTCAAGGATCCCCTGGAGGAATTTAAGGTGAGCCTCACAGCGGCCCTTCAGACCCTCCCAGTCAATCTTTGGATAGCCTTTCTCCATCCCTGCTGTCTCTGCCGATCGCCGCTTGTGTAATCTACAAAAGTCGGTTTGTTGCTTGACGCTCATTTTCCCGTTAGTTGAGTATTTCTCGATAAGCTCTCTATCGACCTCCTTATGGCACATCGGGCATCTGGGTGCTGTTGTACTCTCGAGTTCTTCTATCTCTAAAGGGTCCCAAGATGTGTCCTGTGATTCATCGGGAGTTGCCGTGGCGCCTTGTGAGCCATTATCATCAAACGAATCTATATCATCTAGACCTGGGATTTTGAAGACGGGCCGTTGGGGGCATGCTTCTTCTTTAGGCGCAGAAGAACGTTTGCGTCCCTTTGAGCGTTTCCGCTCTAGTGCCTGGGTGCCTCGTCTGTCGTTGCGTGGCCCTTGAGCTATTGACTTAGTTAACTTTGGATTTTCATCCTCGACATCTTCATCTTCATCCACGGGACTCATATGCCTTGGGGGACGCTTTGCCGGCGTTGTTATAGGAGATGAGCTGTCCTGAATATTCTTGAAGTTAGGTTTCGAGTCCTCTGGCTCATCCCAATCATCCGAGATCCCTCTTTTAATCTTGAAGGGTTTTCTAGGAGATTGGTGCTTCATTGGGCTGATATCCTTTATGTGAAGAAATGAGCTCTTGGTGGCGGTAGGCTGCACTGTCAGGGTATTAGTGTTTGGTCAGGCTTATTCAGCGTTGTTTACTCACCACTGTCTTGTGAAGACGGGGAATCATCCCTTTGCTGCGGCGCATTTTGCTTCTTAGTCTTCTGTTGAAGACCATACTTCATTGCGGTTTGTTTCTTCTTCTTCTTCTGACGTGGAGCTTCGAGTTCCTTTTCTAGTTGGTTAGGTCCTTTTGGTTGATCTTCTTCGGCAGCTCGTTTGTATCCCGCAAGACTAGAAGGGTCGTCTATACTAGAGCTCTTCGCATTCCACTTCATGAATCGAGGTGGCCTAATCTTCGGCTTAGCAGACTGAGAGCTGCTTGGTGTAGTTGATGTAGATTTGATGAAAGTTGTTTTGCGGATGTCTGCCCCAAGGCGCCTTTTGTACTCTTCGTCTGAATTATTATCGTCGTCCGAAGTAGGCTGCTTCATGGCAACATTTTCCGCCTCATCATCGCTGCTCTCGGGCGGCGCGGTAATAGGATCATAGAGAGGATCCGAGTCTCCTTTCATGGCGAGAGAAGATGTCTTAACCCCTCGCCTTTGGTTAGGGCCGATGCTTTTCCCACCGACCTTTGTAAGAGGTGGTCCCCCGGAGAAATCTCTGCTCAGGCCTACTCGCCGCTGCGAAAGTATCATAGATTTGCGATCCTTCATTGACTTCATTGACGCCGCTTCTTTTCTTCACCCGCGGGATTACTTCCGGCAAGGGTAGGAAATGCGAGACATCCACCATGTATGCTTACAACCCTTTTGATATTAATTAGGGTAACAATATCGATGCAAAAGCGGGTTAATGGCGGGTATGTAAGAGTGTCTGAAGGCTCTCAAGTAGTATGAGTTTCTGCTTTACACTGAGTGAAGAATGAAGAGCTGAGGGAGTATATATGACAAAACTGAGGTTTGTTTTGCTCCCAAATTGGGAGAGGAAGATTTAAGTCCGCGAGGATAGCATCCGGGGCTCAGACAAGAACTCGAGTGTCCTTCGCGCAAAAAAAAAAAAAGGTAAAATAGGTTTGCTGACATCGATATCAGCAAGTTGACGGGCGACGACGCGTGAAACTGAGGCCGATTAGGTAGCTAGGGCGGTACCTGCATGCATGACAAAGGCGAGGTAGACTGACTGTAGAAGTGGTAACAGCACGCGTACAGTATCAGCCGTGGATCTCACTGTATTGATTTATCTTGCTACAGTGTATCAGCCTGTTACACTGTATGAGCATCATCCCTGCACGATACTTCCTTACCTACTTAGACCCATGATCTTATTTACGTACCTACATGCATATTTACTTACATTCTGGCAGGAGCTTCTTGTGATTGATATTGTGTTTGGTGGTTTCATACAGCATACATATCATTGTTTGCTGCTGCCCCTCCCCTTCCCTCCCCATCTCTTTTACTGTGTTAATACACACACACACACACTTCCAAGAAGTTACCTATTTGACACGAGCCTTCGATACTCTATCATGGCTGTCAATCGAAAATACGCCGACTTGCCTGATCTGGTATTATTTCAAGCTCCCCTTAGAGCTTTTGCGCTGCTTGCCACTAACACTCTGTAGGACTCTGCCCCTGATATTTACGAGACCCCGGAACTCACCGACGACAATTCAACTATTCCTGTACGAACTTTACTACTACGGATACCATTATTGCTGCGTCAAATCGGGAAACAACTAACACCCATCTCTAGACAACAGTCGACAGGTCGTTATCGGACGATGAATTTGACGACGATGACGATGACGACACAGATGGACCGGGAGTCTCCCACTCGCGTCTACGCATAAACCAAGCTCGATCACGGTTCATGCCCTCCCATCTCGACGCTCGAGACGTGGACTTCTCTGATCGGGTGAATGGAAAACGTAAATCTTACCGAGCCTCAAGTAGAAGGCACCGAATCCTAAAAGACGGTACGGCCGAGATCGGCGACTTGAGTGATGAAGAAGATGGTGAAACTCTAGAAAGAAAGATCGCACGTTTGAGGCGTGAGATTCAGGAGACGAAGGAGGAGTACGGCAAACAGCAGGCAGAAGCGGGAGATACGTCGTCACAGCATGCCACAGAACTCGCGACACTCAGCCAGGCGCTAGACGAGTTGTCAACGCAGCCTGAAGAAGCTAGAGGCCCCCGAGCTCGACCTGCGAGGCCTGTGCCAGAGACGACCAAATCGCAAAACGATGGACCATTTGCATCGGTGGATAACGCCACTTATACTGTCACTTACGCACCTACCTATGACCAGAGCCATGCTCTCGCGAAAGCTGCCGATTTCGACTGGCGGCTTGCTCTACTAGAGAAGTCAATTGGCATCTCCTCAACTACAACACCCGACCTAGAAGGCAATGGACTACCTCGAGCCATTCTACCAACCCTCGAGAATCTTCAAAACCAAATCATGACGCTGTCAGAGGCGTCTACTTCGTCACTTGATAGCATCAGCCGCCGGGTGCGAACATTGACACAAGAAGCCGAACAATTGGAGAAGTCTAGAAAAGCTGCTAAACTAGCGCAAGAGGAACTCTCCTCGGCGGGTGGTCCTACAGTGGAAACAGATGATGCGGAACAAGTCGCCAAGATCAATGCCCTGTACGGCACACTGCCGACCATCGAGAGCTTGACGCCCATACTACCGCCTCTGCTAGACAGGTTGCGCTCACTGCGGGCTATACATGCCGATGCTGCAACGGCTAGTGATACGCTTGAGCGGATCGAGATGGCTCAGAGTGAAATGGCGGCGGATATCAAACAGTGGAGGGAAGGTTTAGAGAAGATCGAGACGGCGATGAGTGAAGGCGGGACTTCAATAACCGAAAACACTAAGGTAATCGAAGGATGGGTCAAGGAACTTGAAGCCAAGATGGCCCGGCTGTCGTGAAGAATGAGCTGCTGTTTGGCATGTGTGTGTTGCCTGCTTTTGCACTGATACCCCTGTCATGGACAATACCTATATCCTTTGGAAACCGAATAATAGAAAGCCTACGTACGAGACGTGGTCCCTGCTACTGAATCCACTTACTTGATTCTTCCCACCCTTGATATAAAGACTATAAATATCCCAATGCATGATTGTGCTAATAGACACGTATGATTCCATACATCTTCAACCTTTAACTAATACTAACTTCGGTATATCTTCCTAGCTACTTACTACATAGTTGACTATTAAGAGATGTCAACCCTATTTACTACCTTGCTCTGCGTAAAGCTATGCTACCTAGGATCAATTCTCTAAAAAGCGAAGATGGGCATATATCACCTACCCAAGTCAGTTGGCATCTCGTGGACTAGATAACTCTGGGTGTTGCGAATCCACAGTCGCACATGCCTCTGGGAATTGTACGTGGTCGTTCCTTCCCTACATCCAACCTTCCGTCTTGTATGCTGACATATGTGTAATCTTCCATCACAGGTCCCATAGCTCAGTTGGTCAGAGCGTCGTACTAATAATATAAGTGCTTCTTGTAATATCGGTAATGCGAAGGCCGTGAGTTCAAGCCTCACTGGGACCAAATTTAATACCTTTTTGGGTAATTTTTAGTCTACGGCTACCTGCCTAGCCTAGCTTTTTCGGAGTGTCTTCAAGCCGAGCCCCGTAATCGGCGGGGTCCGATGGGGTTGGTTTATGAACGGCTGTGCGCGGGCCGTCATCCAGCATAAGGAGTTTGCCGGGTGCCCACAGACCTTCGACCCATGTAACTTTGGTAAGGTATTCGATCGAGCTACCTACCCCAGAGTTTGATTTTGAATTAATACTACGTACTCTTACGTACGCACTGTTTCCAAATCAAATAGGACAGGGTATATGATAGATGAAATTGAATTGTTGAAATGCGTCGGTCTCTATATGAGTACGCGGCGGCTTGGGGATACTTATTGTACATAAGACAGCAAAAAGTGAGGCGCTCGCTTTTTAAAACTACTAAAGGACCCACCCAAGGTGGGTGAGCCCTCTCTCCGCAGGAGAGAGAGCACCAATACTCTAGGTCAGGTTAATACTTTAGGACAGGTAGCAGTAGCCCTACCTTACATTTCTTATATAAATTTTACTTTTTGGTGTTAAAATATGTTTTTTTACAACAGCAAAGCTTAATAACCTATTAACTAAAAATATAAATAACTATAAAATAAAGTAATTTAATTAAAATAAATATGTTTTTAAGCTTTTTTTTATTTAAATTATTTAAGGCTATTTTTTATAATATAAAGTTTTTTTAGCTTTTTAAAAAAACTAAAAAGCTATTTTTTTTTATTATTATTAAGCTTTTAAATAACTTTAATTATATTTTTTATATTAATATTTAAGTTTTTTAAATTATTTAAAATATAATTAACATTTTTTTTATTTTAAAAAAATAATTTTATTTTATATAATAAAATTAATATATTAATAAAGTTATTATTATTAAAATTAATAGTTTTTAATTATATTAAAAAACTAAAGTTTTATAAAAAAAACTTTTTAGTTTTAAAAGTTTAAGCTAAAAATAATATAATTATTATATTAATTTTAAAAAAGTTTTTTAATATATTATTATTTTTTTTATTAGTTTATAATAAATAGCTTTTATTATAAAAAATAAAATTATTTATACTTTTTATATTTTTTATTTAATAGTTAAACTTTAGGTTTTATTATTACTTAAAATAATATATAAAAAAAAAAACTATATTATAAAAAGTTTTAACGATATATTTATAAGCTATATATAATAAAAACTATTTAAATTTAAGCTTTTTTTAAGTTTTTAAAAAAAGTAATAAATGTTAAATTGTTTTATTATAGCGCTTTATATATAAAAAACAAATAGTTAAAAATATTTTATTATATTTTATATATTGGGCTTTGGCTTATTCACAGTTACCTAGTGATTTATATTTTATATATTATGGTATAATCGAATGTTTATTGCTAACTAACCAACCTATACAACAAAAGCCAAAACGCCAAAAATAGCTTCCTCCCTTAATACCGAACCTATATCTCTTTGTTTGCAACAATACTCTTTAATTAAGCCTCAAACAGCAGCCGCAAAAATACCTCCGTTGCGCTTCTATTCTAAGCTATAGCTATTAAGCCATTTAGCCTACTAAAGCTATTTAGCTTGCTGCCGTACAACAAATTAACCGCGCTTAACTACGCTTTAAATTTATATACTGGTTAATTTTCCGAAATGTTTTAATAAAAACTTTTTTTTTAATTTTTATAATATTAATGCTAGTTTTATTTACTTATTTTAACTATATTTTATATTTTTTTATAGCTTTAAAAATTACTAAATATTAATAATCGTTTAAATATATAAAGTTATATATTAAAATAAAATAAATTTTATAGTTATAATTAAAATTATTTAAGTTTTATAAGCTTAATTTTTTAATTGCTTTTAATAGTTTAAAAATAACTATAGCTAAAATTATATTTTTAAGCTTTATTATAGTTATTAATAGTAGTAATAATAATAAGTTTTTTTAAAGCTATAATAATACTTAAAAAAGCTACTAAAAAAATTTTTTATACTAGTTATTATAAAAAGTATAATAATAATAAAAGTATAGTTATAATAATAGCAATAAAAAATAAAAAAAATAACTATTTTATAAAACTTTTGCTTATTTTTTATTTTTATAGTTAGCATTTTTATTTAAATTTAAATATATATAATATATTAAATAAAGTTTAATTAACAAGCTTAAAATAGTTATTTTTTTATTATTTTTTTAGCTAAAGTTTAGCAATTAAGCATATTAGTTTTTTTTTTTATATATTATTAGCAATTTATAATAAAAAAAAGTTTAGCTTAATGTATATATTAGGTTTATTTTTAAGTTTAAAGCTATGTTTGTTGCATAAATAGTTATATAAAATAGTTTTAATAAAGTTATAAGTAGTATTTTTTTTGCAGTAGGCTTAATATTTAAAATTATTAAAAATTTATATTATATTTATATTACTTATATAGTAAAATAACTATATAGCAATAACTATATATTTATAACTAACTTTATTATATAAAAATAACTAAGTATAAAAAAAAAGCAAATATTATATATTTAACGTTTTAATAAAAATTAAACTATAATAATTATATTTTATATATTAAATAATATATTAATTTATATTAGTTATTAGCAGTTTATATTTTTATATTAGCAGCTTGTTTATAGCAATATTATATTTAGCAAAACAATTAATAAAACAATAAAATAGCCAATATATAATAAATTAGTTATTAGCAGCTATATATACTATTAAAAAGCTATACTAATAGTTATTTAATGGCTATTTGCAGCTATTAATATATAATAGTTAGTAATTAATTATATAAACAAAAAGTTTAGCTATATATAGCTTATATATAGCTTGCTTTTTTACTTTTATATAAAAAAATTGTTGCTTACTTTTTTATTTGTTTATTAAGCTTTAGCTTAGCTATTTAATTATAGTTTATTTATTTGCTTAAATAAAATATTTTAAAATATTTAAAAGCATATAATAATAAATAATAAAAATATATTATTAAATAAATATAAATATAATTATATATAAATATTTATTAATAAATTTAATAAAATAATTATAATTTTATTAAAATATAAAACTAATATAATAAAAACTTTTATTATTTAATACTATTAATTAATATATTAATTTTTTAAAATATTTAAAATATAATTTTTAAATAATATAAAACTTTTTATTTTTAAGTTTATAAAAATATTAAACTATTTAATTAGTATAAAATATAAATAAAAAAATATTTATTATTTTTAAATATAAAAAACAATTAAAAAAATAAATTATAATTTTAATTAAAAACTATAATTTTATATTAATAAATATTAAAATAACTAAAATATTTATTTATTAGCTTTAAACTTTATATATAATATTTTATAATATTTAATAATTAATATAATATTAATAAAAATAGCTATAAAAATTAAACTAAAAAATTATTTAATTATTAACGTTATAAAAAAAATATTTAATAATAAATAAATAAAAAAAGTAACTAAACTAATAAAATAAACAAAAAAAATTTAAAAAATAGCTTATTAAATAATTATAATAGCTTAAAAAAAACAAAAATTATAAGTAAACAAAAAACATAAGCTTATAAATTTTATTATAATTAATAAAATTTTTTTAAGCAAAAAAAGTTTATTTATAATAATATTAATTATATAATTAAATTTATAATTTATAAAACTATTTAATAGTTAAACTTTAAGTTTATTGCTGCTTAAAACAGTATATAAAAAAAAAACTATATTATAAAAAGCTTTAATAGCATATTTATAAGCTATATATAATAAAAACTATTTAAACTAAGCTTTTTTTAAGTTTTTTAAAAAAGGTAATAAGTGCTAATTGTTTTATTGCAGCACTTTATATAAAAAACAAATAGTTAAAAAGTTTTTTTTGCACTTTATATATTAAATAATGCGTTAATTTATACTAGCTATTTATAGCTTATATTTTTATATTAATAGCTTATTTGCAGCAGTATTATATTTAATAAAACAATTAGCAAAGCAATAAAATAGCTAAATATAGTTATATTAGTTATTAATAGCTATATATACTGCTAAGCAGTTATACTAATTGCTTGCTAACAGCTGTTTGCAACTATTAATATATAGTTATTAATAATTAATTATGTAAAAAAAGCTATACTATATATAGCTTATATAGCTTGCTTTTTTTTTGTGTAAAAAGATTATTGCTTACTTTTTTGCTTGCATATTAAGCTTTCGGCTTAATTATTTAGTTATAGTTTATTTACTTGTTTAAATAAAAATTTATAAAACTATTTATTATATTAAAATAATATAAATATAGTTATATATTAAATATATTTAATATTTATAAAAAAAAAAAAACTTATTTTATGCTAATTAACTATAAAAAATAAATAATAATTTGCTATTTTAATAATAGTTAAACTTTAAGTTTATTGTTACTTAAAGCAATATATAAAAAAAAAATTATATTATAAAAAGCTTTAATAAGATATTTATAAGCTATATATAATAAAAACTATTTAAACTTAAGCTTTTTTTAAATTTTTAAAAAAAGTAATAAGTACTAAATTATTTTATTATAACGCTTTATATATAAAAAACAAATAGTTAAAAATGCTTTATTACGCTTTATATATTAAATAATATGCTAATTTATACTAGCTATTAGTAGCTTATATTTTTATATTAATAGCTTATTTATAATAGTATTATATTTAGTAAAACAATTAATAAAGCAATAAAATAGCCAATATATAATAAGTTAGTTTTAATATACTATATATATTAAACTGTTTAGTAAAATAAAATTAAACTAGCGCTATATTAAAGTTATATAAAAAGTTTATTAAAAATAAAGCTTAATTAATTTTAAAAGCTATTTTAATTTTTTTAATTTTTTAAATTTATATATTATATATAAAAGCTTTATAAAATAAAGCTTAGTTAAATAAAGCTTAAGCTTAAAAGCTTAAAAGTTGCTTAG